AAATATGAAAATATTTTAATAAAAATAAATTTTTTTTTTGAGTGCCCGGATATTTTCTTCAGGGGAGTGTATGTATTTCTTTTTATTATACTAAGACAAATTTTATAACTGGATGATATTTTAACCAACTTCTTGATTAATATCTTCTTTTTTAGCCTCAATAACAATAATAAGTATATCTCTAATTTTGATAATCCAATCTACTGGTCCTTTACTATGACTTTCAGATAACTTATATTCTGGATATACTTTTATTTCACTATTATAATAAAAGGTAATACTATAAAAAACAAAAGAAATAAATTTGTATCTTATTACTTTATTTACACTAATATTTTAAATAAAGATGATTATCACAATTAAAAAAAATGATACAATTGAATTACAACTTGTAATAATAATAAATTTTCTTATAGCACAATTAAATTGCAACTCAATTAAAATTTAAAAATAATTATGGGATTATCTTTAAATATGAATGCAGATTTTATGTTTTATAACTATTTTTTTCAAAAAGTACTTCAATATCTTTTCATAATTAGTTATGTCAGCTAACTCTCTATCAAATCTGATAGATTAATATAACTATCAGCTTTTAACCTAAACAATGATTTAATTTTAAAAAACATTTACAATGAGAATAATTATTATGCTGTAGAAATATTAATATTAAATCTGTTAGAATCTGTTATATAAATTTCATAAAAAATATTACTATACCTACATGTATTCATGATAATTAAAAGGTTTACCTTGAATTCTTAAGTTCAAATTATATATACTAAATTCTCATCATCAACTAAAAGAACATGCTTCTTTTCACTCTTATGAATTATAACAATATGTTTGTCTTTAGTTCTATTTAGGAAAGTAAAATAAGTTTAAAGTCTTGTCTTTAAAGCTGACAAGATTATTTATTCATGAGTTATAGCTTATAAGAATGTCTCTGATTTATATCCATATGTTATGATGCAGTAAACTTCTTTTATCTTAATAAAATGCTATATGATAATATATATGTATTTATCAGCTGGTTAAAAAGTAAAATGTTTACTAATCTTCAAAAGTAGTGAAAATTTCTCACCACTAAGCTTCTCTTTAATATTAATATTAATTTTTATATTAATGAAGTTAAGTTTTTTATTTAGTACTTCAAAAGGAATATCAACCTTTTATAATTAAAGTTTATCTATAGTAAAATTATCAAACGCTAACATTTTTTCCTCTTTAATAGCTTTTTTAAGTTTATTTACAATAATATTTTTAAGGTTCTTTTTAAAAATAATTTTAAAAATATTTTTATAAGGGTTTTTACCTATGACTAAATAACTAAAAGTAATAGTTGACATAGTTCAACTAAAACTATAATATAATACTTTAATGATTTAAACTTTAAGATGTAAAATTAATATACTTATATTAGTAATAAATAAGCAATAATTAGGTTATAAAATGCACACTTTAGTAAACAGATGAGTTAAAACTCAGATATAATAAGATGTAATAAACTTGTTTTTAATTTTATTTATTATAAAATTAGCATATATTGACTATATATTAGCAATATATTTACATTTATATTTCAAATTTTCTGACTGATGCAGTAAGTGTATTAGATGTAGTAAAAATTCATTTAAATTTGGTTAGCACTATTCCCTAATTTTGGGTTTATATTAAACATAATATTTTAGCATTCAAGTTGGTCTAAAACTAATAAACTAATAAAACTACTTTAGTTTTCTGTCAGTTCTATAATAGTTTCAGAAGAGTTTTAGACACTGTCAAATCATTACTATGATGATCTTTTAGATTATGCGTTGTTACGTTGGGTTTCGTAGCTTCAAATAAAATCTCAAAGGGTAAATAAAACTAAGACAATTACTTAAGGAATC